TGACAAGTGATCAACTTTTTTCTCACTCTTCACTTCACAAATGCATTGCAAACACATATAAAACCATAAATTATGTCATTTTATTCACCCGTATATCAAGTTATGTAACAAATAATTTGCAATTTTTCATTCAAACAAATTGTGAGACAAGTGTTTCGTTACAATCATATAATCGTCGAAAAACTTTTATAAAAAGTTGGTTTTCGTACAAAATGTTAGTTTTAATTTACATATAAATTACACTTTAAGTTAAGTAGTGTTTTAATTGGCGGTTAGTTTTGTATTTGTTTTATTGTTAGTCTTAACGTACAGTATATGGCATTTAAACGATTAGTTTTGGGTAAATATAAAAATATATATCGAGATTCTTTTTATGAGATTATATTATAAAATATATATTGCATTCATCTTAAAGATCACATTCCGATTCCGGTTCGCCGGTCTTCATGTCTTGAAGCGGTTCCGAGTGTTTGCGTAGCGTTCGTCTCCTCCGACGGCTTCGGCGGCAATCAATCATACATTTTATCACAATTAATACGATTAGCATTAAACAGACAAACGAGACAATCATTATTATATTGGTGTCCAAAACCCAATCGTAGATACAATACTGGACGGGATTGAAGGCATCGGTAGTATTGGTCACATCGATGTGATAGTAATGCATATCTATGTCAAACGTGGACTGATATATTGGTATTTCGCTCACATATACGCGGTCTTTGAGACTCGTCCTCCAGTTATGAGAGCATTGATGGCTAAAACCGGTGACAATACGACCCAATCTGTATGACTCAGTTGTGCGCAAACAGTTTTTGGCCGACAACTCATCGAAGTTTTTTGTACGACAATATTCATAGAGACAATCCCTGCTCTCATTGCACAGCACTTCGAAGTACTTGACAAATACCACAACCGACTGATCCGAGTGTATGTCAAAACCAAAGGACAGACTCATCTGATGGCCGGTTGTGTTGGCATTGAATTTGTAGACATGAGAGATGGGATTGATGTCAGAGTACTGGCAAGAAGTGAGCGTTGATTTGGACGCGTCGGGAGTGATGTCCGCGAATGTGTGGCCAATGAATGAGGTGTTGACGGGTTTGACAGCAACGGTGGCCCTGAAGTCAGACAATATACACGACATATACTTCTGGCGGTCGTAACCGATCCACTTGTCACTGATTGTGCCGTTTGTCTCTTCGCCTAATACTGAACGCGTGGATAATACTAATGCGAGTAATGGTATAAAATACATGTCCTTTGATATTGTGGGACCAAATGGGGTGACAATTAGGGGGCAAATAGTGGACAATTGGGGGATATATTAATAGCAGTAATACTGGGAATGCATTTGAATTTTCAAATTACTCTCACTTTTCACATAACGATTGAAATGTGATTTCAATTATCGCACAAACCATTCATTAAACACTTTAAACGTTNAACGTTTTGAATTAGAAATACATAACAAATATACTGTTGTTTTCAAACATAACAAACAATATGTGAATTCATTTGATATGAATATCCGTAATAAATATGCGATTGATTTACAAGTAATTAATTAAATCATAAAAACAACAAAATATATGACAAAAAGATATGAAATAAGCCCTAAAGGGGTTTAACTCGACGTATGACTGAACACTGTTTTCGTGACGTAAGACAACTCTATTTGCATAGAAAAGCATTGGAATGTCGATCTGAAATACCATTCAGTTTGTCCATAAAGTATGTCATGTAAGACAGGGTTCAAGTGTTTATAACTTGTAAACAGTTAATGGAAGCATAAAAGGGGCCAAAGAAATAGCGTTCATATGAATGAAATAATCCAAACTTATGTGTTATAGATATAGTATGAATAGGGATGACAATTTCACTGGAATTTCCATTTGAACATTTCATTTAGGTTAAATTTGGAAATTTTGAGCTACATTTTCACAAAAATTTGAATACGTCGTGTGTTTTTCTACTAGATACTTTTAATGTGGTGAAATATATAATAAACAAACTAATTGGAACATGTTTCATTTTAAATAATAAAAAATTCTTTTGGTTATTTGAATATTTCAAATTGTTTATAGATTCTTGCTAGTTCTTGAATATTCTGCTATCAATTCTATGAATATTTTACTTAAAACATAAATTCTAAACTTCGATTCTACAAAAAACTAATGATATACTTTAGCCCTAAACTAAACTAAACTTTAGTGTTCACAACTACCCTAAACATTCCCAAAATGTTACTACTAACATCTATACATCTCTCGTAAGTATGAATGGACAAACATTTGTAACGTATACCAGGTTTGTGTGGTTTTCCAGTGTTTGTCAGTCATGTACTCGATTCTAGGCATAGAATAAATTTAGATAAGAATGATATATAAGTTGTGAACCAAAATGTTTATCACATAATCTCTAATAGTTTTGTTTTCGACCCAAAGTTTTTGCAAAATATTATTTGCCTCAAAGCTGTCATAAATATTTCACATTGATTTGTAGGACATATGGTTAGGCTATTATTATATAACAAATTGTGCTAAATATTGATACAATTCTTTGACTGGTAATCATATTGAGGGACCGGTTGTGCGCATGCGTTGAATGACAACTATTTTGTAAACATTAAACGTTAAGTTTGTGTATGTTTTTAGTGTTGGCTTTAAATTACAAATGCATTTGAATTGAGATTTAAAATTGATTTCAAAATCTGGAAGTGATGTCTGAGTGGGAGTCCAATGACTGCCACACATGTAGTGATAACAAGACAATTAGTGGCGAAGACTTTGATCCGACGGACCACTCATTCCTCTGCCATCCGGAGCTCATGAGTAAACAGGAGTTAAAGGATTTGTTACGAAATGTTTGCATATTTTTCGCATTCATTATCAAAATAAACATTACTTTTAATTTTTAATTACTTTTTGACAAATGTTTTTTCAATGTATTGCTTTGTATTGACACGTGTTTAGCGTCGCGTATGTCTCCCACAAGAGCTCACAACCAATGGCTATGAATATTGCAATTTAATTGATTTATATAAACGAGTATTACTTCCGTTACCGCAGAGGAAGTACGGCGACAGTCGGCACGACATCCAACTGAAGGCCAAACAATTGGATTGTAATATGAATTCCGCACTCAAGAGGAAGAGTGAAGAACTGCACGCAAACCAAGACTCGAAGAAAGCGAAAACAATTACCATTAATAATAATAATTCAAATTATGAGATAAATAGCAAACGAATGGCAACACAAGTATCGCAACAAACCTATGATAATAAGCGACAGAGAGTTAATTGGCCTTAATTTTCGCATTCAATTTAAACGCCATATTTAGACGATAATTATGTTTTGAACATTACTTTGATATCTATTTTTATTATTTATCATTTGTTTCGACAAAATCATGACATAATATATGAATTCATTTGATTTGAGATTAATGTATTTTGTAACATATTTTGTACAAAAAAGTCAATCATAAAAAGCACACATTTTTGGCTCATTTCTTAGTCTTGTCGTTATCTTCTGACTTACTTCTGTCCGACTCATCGATAATGTATTGCAATAAATCTTTAAGCGACGCGAACTCTGTCCTCGCGTTTGTGGACTCAGTGGGCGTAAGTCGAGGTAAATATGTGCCCACTTTATGGCGAAACTCTTTTAACTGTTTATAGAAAATACGGCAAATAATTGATTAATATTTGACGCAAACAATTGAATGACAACGAGTTTGTGGGACACGACTCACATCGTTAACACCCATAGCCTTCCACACTGTGAAACAGAAGACCCCGAAACCAGTGCACGCGTAGACCGTTCCCCACAACAGGGCTCTCATGGCCAGAGATCCGCCACTTTGGTTGCCCACAGTCTTCACAATCGATATACCCTTTCATTAGAAAAGGGTTAGTATTTGTGAACATTTGTGTCAATTTGTGGGCAAATGAATGAAAACCTTATCGAAAGCGTTGACGTCTTTCTTCTTAGCGTTTGACAATGCGGTGGAAAAGCCGAACAGAAGACCGGCTCCCGTCACACATGACATGAATGCTATCTCTGGTCACAACGAATAGAACATCCCATTATATTTCTAATGATTTCTACATTCATATATCATTTCCATACAAATACCCAAATATTTATTATTTCTTTTGCCACTCTTCGGCACATTATTGTCGGCGACGGCCACTGGAGGCAAACTTTCGGCCCGATCTCTGTCTCCCATTTAAGACAATTATCTCATTTTAAAATATTTAAAAACCGGATAATGTAATGGTAATAATGTGGCGATTGAGTACACTATACGTTATAGTGTATGACTTGTTATAAAATAATTAATAAGTTTTGAAAACACATTGTGTTTAAGACAAGCAATTGAACACATTATGCAATCATTTCATAACAAATTAAATGTGCGTTCAGTGAAGGCATGAGTCAATAGATGTCAGTCTAATGCAAAAACTCAATCATTTACTATAAAACTGATTATTGGTTTCATTAGTTAATCAATGGTTTAAAAAGTGGACAATTAATGACCGAAAGGAGAGATAACTGATAGACTTGAATGCATTTACGGCTCATTTGTGGTATAGATTATGGGATGGATTAGTGGATTAATGTGTGATCTGAGCAGCCATTGTATGCCTACCTCTGTCTGTCATACCTTTACAGTGAGTTTCAATGCAAAGCCCATTGAGTTTAGGGAAGAGATTTTGTAGAGTAAGAGACAGACAGTGAATGTGATATGAAGACAAAAACGTGTTAACCCACACACACTATGCGCTATAAGTTAAGGCGATATTGCATTCAATACATAACACAGTGTTGTCATGAAAAACCATTTTTTGTCATTAAAAAACAATACAAATGTAGGGATAATAGCAGTGAATGAATGAATGCATTGATTACACGATAACAATGAAAGCGATTGAAACGACAATTAATAGTCGATTAGTATTACTATTATTATTGTTGTTATGATTATTAGTATTGAATGTTTGCAATCGTTTGCATCGATTGGCGCATCCATTGAACGGCTATTGATTCCCACAAACACTACATCTCATGTCATGTCTAATAACAATCAGATTTCAAATAATAAATCAATTTAAATAAAACCATTCATTTGGACGACAAGTCATTCATATATTTCTCCACTTTTTAATATTTATATAATTTTTTCATTCAATTTATTATTAATTTTTTATTGAAATATTTTTAGTACTTATTATTCAATTGTTTTGTTTGTATAAAATCCGTGTGTTTTTAACGTCAAAACCCAATTATACACCCGTTTTGTTAATTCAATGAATGGTAAGTGTATTTCATTACTCTATAATTGAATGGTTTTTATAATTATTTGGAAATTGTATTCAAAAATAGCCGTAAAAGAGATGTCTTTGACAGCAAATGTGGCAAACATTTGGTTATGAAATGCATTCATAATCTGTTGATAACATCATTACTCCTATTATTGCTATTTATTGACACAAAGAGCAGAAACACCGGTCGATCGAGCGATGTCTTCGTCTTCACCACAATCTCTGACATCCATTGAATTGATCACAAGAGAGACGAAGACCAAGAAAGGCATGCATTCGTCGGCTATTAGTCCGTCGATGTCTGCCATGTCTTCGGGCAA